CACGATTTTTGTCCAGTCTCTTCCCACATCTCCCACACCCCTTCCCCCCCAAGAATAGTCAGTCCATTCCCTTTCTATGTCCCTGATTCTATTATAATCACCAGTACATTCTGTTCATCAGATTATTTATTCACTTGATTCTTAGATTCACTTGTTGATAGATGCAAATTTGTTGTTCATAATTTGTATCTTTACCTTTTTCTTCCTCTTCCTCTTCTTAAAGGATACCTTTCAGCATTTCATATAATACTGGTTTGGTGGTGATGAACTCCTTTAGCTTTTCCTTGTCTGTGAAGCTCTTTATCTGACCTTCAATTCTGAATGATAGCTTTGCTAGATAAAGTAATCTTGGTTGTAGGTTCTTGGTATTCATCACTTTGAATATTTCTTGCCACTCCCTTCTGGCCTGCAAAGTTTCTGTTGAGAAATCAGCTGACAGTCGTATGGGTACTCCCTTGTAGGTAACTGAGTTTCTTTCTCTTGCTGTTTTTAAGATTCTCTCTTTATCTTTTGCTCTTAGCATTTTAATTATGATGTGTCTTGGTGTGGTCCTCTTTGGGTTCCTTTTGTTTGGGGTTCTCTGTGCTTCTTGGACCTGTAAGTCCATTTCTTTCACCAGGTGGGGGAAGTTTTCTGCCATTATTTCTTCAAATAGGTTTTCAATATCTTGCTCTCTCTCATCTTCTGGCACCCCTATAATTCTGATGTTGGTACGCTTGAAGCTGTCCCAGAGGCTCCTTAAACTATCCTCGCATTTTTGGATTCTTTTTTCATTTCTCTTTTCCGGTTGGGTGTTTTTTGCTTCCTCGCATTTCAAATCATTGACTTGATTCTTGCGCTCCTCTGGTCTGATGTCGGGAGTCTGTATAATATTCGTTATTTCAGTCCGTGTATGCTTAATTTCTAGTTGGTTCCCCAATATAACATCGAGGGTCTCATTAGTTTTCTTGTAGATCTCATTAAGTTTATCGGCGGCTTCTAAACAGTTCTTGAGAGACCTTAAAAGTGTGGTTCTGAACTCTATATCTTCCTTTGACAATTTTTTCCTGTTTCTTTGTCTCCGCATTTTGTTATGCTTCCTTGGTGCACCCCCTAGTGGTCTTTGTGCGCAGTCTTATTGTTAAACCTTGATTGTTGTAGCTAATACCAGGGAGGGTTTGACCTCCAGGCCAAGTGGCTATGAGAATCAGCTGTGTCAGCAGTGAGAGAACTTCTGTCCTCTAGGGAGGTGCTAATCTGGCGTTTGCCTGAGGCTATCTGGCAAATGCCTCAGTGCAGGGCTTGGGCGGGGCGGGTCGCACAGGATCAACAGGGTGGGCCGGAGAGAGCAGTTATGGCGACTCTCAGTCCTGTCCCCAGGGGCTCTGCCTCTCTGAGTCCCAGCACCCGCTGCAAAGCTCGGAGAGAAAGCTGCACTCGCTCTGACCGAAGCCAGACAGTCCCGCTTCTCCCGTTTGAGTCTGGGTTCCTAAAGACTCGCCCGTATCTGGAGCTCAGAGTCTGCGACTCCCTCCCGATTGGAAAGGCCAACCGCGCCCTCCACCGCCAGCCCGCTCCATGCACTACACACCTCAGAATTTGACTTCAGCACTGCGCCTCCTCTGAGTGTCCGTGTGCGTTTCTCTTTCCTCCTAGTTGTAGGACTTCCACTCAGCCAGCGTTCCTGTGGTTCTGGGTGATATTTGTTCCGTCTTTTAGTTTCACTTTTGAAGTAGTTGTTCAAAGCAGCAAACTCCGGCGTTAACCTATGCCGCCATCTTGGTTCTCCTCCTGGATTCCTTTTGTTTGGGGTTCTCTGCGCTTCCTGGACTTGTAAGTCTATTTCTTTCACCAGGTACGGGAAGTTTTCTGTCATTATTTCTTCAAATAGGTTTTCAATATCTTGCTCTCTCTCTTCTTCTGGAACCCCTATAATTCTGATGTTGGTATGCTTGAAGTTGTCCCAGAGGCTCCTTACACTATCTTCATATTTTTGGAATCTCTTTTCTTTTTTCTTTTTCAGTTGGGTATTTTTTGTTTCTTTGTATTTCAAATCTTTGACTTGATTCTTGGGATCCTCTTGTCTGCTGTTGGATCTCTGTAAATTATTCTTTATTTCAGTCAGTGTATGCTTAATTTCTAGTTGGTCCTTTTTCATGTCCTCCAGGGTCTCACTATACTTATTGAGGGACTCACTAAATTTATCGGCGGTTTCCATAAAATTCTTGAAAAACCTTATAAACGTGGCCTTGAACTCTATATCCAGTCGTTTACTTTCCTCCATTTCTGCCATTTGTGACCTATTTCTTTGTCTCCGCATTTTGGCTGCTTCCCTGTGTTGATAGAGTGGCTTTGTGTGCTAGGTGTCCTGTAGGGCCCAGTGTCTCAGCCTCCCCAGTTACCTGAGGTGGACACTCTTGGTGCACTTCTTTGTGGGCTTTGTGCACAGTCTTGTTGTAGTTATGCCTTGGTTGTTGTAGGATCACTGGGAGGAATTGACCTCCAGGCCAATTGGCAGTGAGAATCAGCTGTGTCTGCAGTGGGAGAACTTCTGTGCTGAAGACACCCTTCTGGGCAAGACTTGCTTCAGTGGGGTTTTGGTGCTCACTGAGTCTGCACCCTGAGTGTGTCCCTTATGGATCTGAGGAGTTGTGATCTGGATGGTCCCCCTCTGACCACTGGGTACAGTGGCTCTTGGATCTAAGAAGGTGCTAATTTAGCCTCTGCCTGAGGTTACACATCAGGAGCTACGAAGAGAACTGCAGATTCCCCTTCCTTTTTTGGAGTTTGGAGGTGCCCTGATGAGGCTCAGCTGTGAAGCAATGCAAGCCGCTGTGGGGCCTTGGGCCTTCTCTTGGAAGTTCTGGGTATATCTGGCCCGGCTGCTGTTAGGTAATTATCAGGTTGCAAAGGGCCGGGGCATTCATATGCAAAAGCCTCTGCCGCAGCCTTGGTGGGGCGGGGTCTCAAGGAATCAAAGGGCGGAGCCTTAGCCCTGCCCTAAGGAGTCGCGCGTCTCAGTGTCCTGGTAACGGCTGCAAGCACCTCTGAGGGAAAGCCGCCCTCAAGTTCGCCCGCTGCCAGACAGTCCAGTTTCTCCCCGTATGAGTCCTGGGTCCCCAGAGACTTCCCGGAACCGGAGTTCAGAGCCGTCGGGAGCTTGTGACTCCCTCCGGATTCAAAAAGATAGCCGCGTCCTCAGGTGCCAGCCCCTTTCCGTGCGTGCGAGCCCCCGTACCTCTGCACTTTACTTCCACAGCGCCTATGGCTCTCAGTGTGCTTTTCTTTCCTTCTAGTTGTAGAATTTACACTCAGCCAGCCTTCCTGTAGTTCTGGATGATGTCCGTTTTGTGTTCCTAGAAGATTTTTCAATTGTTGTGGGAGGCAGCAATTTCCCGGTGTTTATCTATGCCGCATCTTAGTTTCTCTCTCCACCAAACCAGTATTATATGAAATGCTGAAAGGTATCCTTTAAGAAGAGGAAGAAGAAGAAAAAGGTAAAGATACAAATTATGAACAACAAATACGCATCTATCAACAAGTGAATCTAAGAATCAAGTAAATAAATAATCTGATGAACAGAGTGAACTGGTGATTATAATAGAATCAGGGACATAGAAAGGGAATGGACTGACTATTCTTGGTGGGGAAAGGGGTGTGGGGGGTGCGGGAAGAGACTGGACAAAAATTGTACACCTATGGAAGAGGACAGTGGGTGGGGAGTGAGGGCAGAGGGTGGGGTGGGAACTGGGAGGAGGGGAGTTGTGGGGGGGAAAAAGAGGAACAAATGTAATAATCTGAACAATAAAGATTTAATTTTAAAAAAAAGAATCAAAGTATCACATTTTCAAATAACAGGAATAAAGGAAGGTAATAAAAAATTATGTGAATCTTTTTGTTGAAAGGGTATATGATATCCTTTAACTGTTGAGTATAGTTTTCTAACCTACAAGTTTGACCAGAAATTTAACACCTTTTAGTATAAGGCTTGCCCCACTGGGATGTCTTTCCGCTCTCTGCACAATTTCCTTTAAATGTCACTACATGCTGACTCTGGAGCAGATTCTACAGAAAGACTTTCCCCTGGTTGTTTTCAAGTTATAACACTTCACAGAAAGTAAACAAAAAAATCAAGCCATGTGTTAAAACATGTGAAAGTGAATCTCATACAAGGGGAGCAAACAACATACCTCAAGGATATGTAAGAAACTATACCTTCAGGATTTTAGGCAGCAAGGAACTCAGAGCTCAAGGTGGCAGCACAGGGAGGTGATGAGATGGAGAACGTTGGCTGAGAAGGGAACAGGGAGATCACTCAGTGGAGGGGACCTGGGTTCCCCCTGAAAAGACAGCCTTTGGGCTCCCTTTGTTCTGAGAACTAGGCCTGCCTTTCTGTACTTCAGTCCCTCAGTGCCCTCACCAAGTTGAGTTCTAAAATTTATGGCCATTCAGTAGCCAGTAGGCAGTTTTCCCAACAGAAACCAGAAGCACTGGCAGAGCTCTGCTCTGCAGCGACTCCTGCCATTAGAGTTGTACCACAGAAGCAGCAGACAGCTGTCCTGGGGTATGTGTTGATGGGCAAAGGACAAAACAAGAGGCTCATTGCAAAACTGGGCCATGTGCCAATCTGTGGGATTCTGCAATCTTAGACTCAAACCCCTCCTGGCTCTGCTGGCCCCACCCACAGGAGCTGATCTATATCTTTAGTCCACAGGACAGGGGAGGACCAGCTGCCCCCGAGACCCGGGACCACCAGCTGGATCTGTTCTCACAGCAGCCACAGCACTGACTGGGTAAGACAATGACCTCCTCCTGGGGTTGGGACAGGAGGACCAGTGATGGGACAGCAACTGCCAGGGGACTGAGCTTGGGCTAGTACCCAGGACACAAGGCAGACTTGGGGGGCTGAAGGGAAAAGAAATAGAACCTTGGTGGCAGCAGGGGCCCTTCAGGGTGACAGATGAAGGGGTGTGTCACAACTGGGCAGGGATGCAGGAGATGCTTCTCTTTTGACAGGAAACATGGTTCCAACACAGCGGGATTCCCAGCTTTGTCTCCTTCTGCTGCTGGGGCTCATGGGAATGGTGATCTCCTTCCATGCCCCACCTGGGGGTCTAAGCTGGGCTCAGTGGTTTGAAGTTCAACACGTAAACATGACCAATGCTCAATGCACCATTGCAATGCAGCCGATTAACCGCCGTAATTATGTGAGTTTCCAGAGGCCATGCAAAGGCCAAAATACTTTCATCCACACACCACTTGCTGATGTTGTTAATCTCTGTTCCGGGACAAATATAACCTGCCGTAATGGACGTGATAAAAATTGCTATAGAAGCCAAGCTGCAGTGAATCTTACCTACTGCAACCTTACAGGACCGGCACGACCTTACAATCAGTGCCAATACCAGCAAGTACCCTTACTGAGAAACTACAGTGTTGCCTGTGACAGTGGACACATTCCAGTTCACTTCGATAGAATCTACTAAGCTCTGTGCCCGCAGTCACAGCCATGGTCCCATGCCGCCATCCACCCTGGATATCAGCACCAGTCTCACCACCAGCTCACAACCCCTTTAAGCTCTGCTGCGCTGCAGCTCCTGTGCACCGGCAATAAACTCCTTTGCAGAATGACCTACCAGTCTCTGTGTCCGTTTGTGTCCCTCTGCTGTCATGTAGACACATCTGATCAAGAGAATGTTTCCCTTCCTCTCATATGAGATCTGAGGTACATAGAGAGGCATGTGTGTAAGAGGCTCCTTGTAAAATGAAGTGACTCAGAATGTCCTCCCTCACTGCCTCACATTGAAAACCTGAAGCTTCAACTGATCTGTGTATTTCCATCCCAAGAGGTAAATGGGCCCAGTTGAATAAATAGGAAGCAAATGCCTTTGATTCTGCCTGATTAATGAGCAATAAATTATGAGAAATGTAAACTTGTTTGTTGTAATCCAAAACAGGGACAAAATGCCTTATGTGATGAGATGACAAAAAATTTTTAAATACAGAGATATTTTTCTGTAAAAGAGTGCATCAGTTCCACAGGTATTGTGGTTACAGTAGGGCTGGATCCTGGGTCCAATGTGGAATGAGATCACCTGTTCAGGTGCCACATTCACAGGTTCTAGTGCTGCCTAGAGAAGATAGGAAGTCTTCCCTGGCCATTTCTATGTCCTGGAAAGGGGGACAGCTGGTCCCGTGATGGTGGAAGGGCAAGGAGGGAGCACACAATTGGGATGTCTCAGGGTGAGTATGCTCTTTCCCATTTAGCCTCCACTGCTGTCCCCACGGGGGAATCAGTGGCTCATTCACACTCAAGTCAGGAAGGTGCACAGGCTCCTGGATTTGGGGGTTGAAGAGCCACAGAGAGAAGGGCTGGATAATGAGATCCCCTTCCCCACTTCCAAAACAGGGCTGCACTCAGGAATGAATGAGGAGCAGTAAGGGAAATTCCTTAAGAACTATGGTCAGCAGCAGCATTCATGTGATTGTATGATGGGGGATGGCCAGCAACTGCAGTTCAGCCTCTGCTTCGGCAGGGTGCTGTAACTGTAGTCAGCTGGCCAGCTTAATAAAGGCTCTTAAATTTAAATTCTGAGTCGGTGGTCTATCTCGCTGAGTCAACCCATAACAGGAGGAAATAAACACATGCATCTATATACATGTCAGTAACCTTACGTGTGTAACATACAGAGATACATAAAAACTATAAAAGGATAGAAAAAGAGCTGAATAATTATTGCACCTGGAAAAGAAAGTAGGGCCTACATGACAAGGACCAGAGGAAGACACCCTTTTTACTAGACTTGCTCTCTTAATGTTCGAATTTACGTCTGCCATCTGCAGGTACAAGGCGTCTGTATTTTCTTAAAAAGGAACAAGTGAGACCACCTCACAGAAGCCCTTACTCAGCTGAGTAAGGAAGGGTCCCTGGGGATAGAAAGTTCAAACAACTGAGGTCTGAAATGAAACAGAACCACCACAGAGATGCGGTGTCGGGTTGATCTCGAAGCCCCCACCCCCACCCCCCCTCACTCCGCTGCCAAGAAGCAGTGCCGCAGACACCTCCTCCTTCCTCCTTCGGAAGGAGAGTTCAAGGGACTCAGCAGGCGCCCATTATTTAAAGCCCTTCTGTTTATTTCCCCGCGGTTTCCCTCCGTCATTAAAAGAGGCATTTGAGGACTTACATGCAAGCATATAGGCCTAACCAATGGACACAGACAACAGGGGGGTGAGGGCATGAATGGGGGGGGGAGGGGGTAACGCGAGGATAAGAACACATATGTAATAATTTTTAAAAAGTGGGGGGGAAAAGAGGCTTTTGAAAGGTGGAGACTATCTCTATGGTCCCGGCCATACCGGCAGCGCCCTCTACCGGCCAGGAGCGCGGGCGAAGGCTCAGGGAACGAGAGGAGGGCGCCCGGGAATCGCGCACCCCCGCCCCGCAGCGCCTCGGTCTGGGCTGTGCCCTCTAGCCTGGGCATTGTGGCTATGAAGGAAGCCGGAGGCCCTCCAGACCCCTCTCCAGGAGCCCGGGCCCGCCCCCGGGGAAATGAAGAGGCTACTGTGGGCCGGTCACTCGGTGCCCAGGGGGGCGTCCCCGGAGTTTCCTTAGAGCCACACGTGAGCACGTGGGACCGTGAGCCCGGAAAGTAACGTTGCAGGTAGGCGCACGTCTCTCCCGAATAGATGCTCCCCCCTCTCCCCCACCCCGCCAGCCCATCAGCACTGCGCACGCCCGCACCAACTCTATAGGGCCAGCGGTTCTCAACCTGTGGGTCGCAACCCCTTTGGGGGTCCAACGACCCTTTCACAGGGGTCTCCTAAGACCATCAGAAGTCACATATATAATTACATATTGTTTTTGTGATTAATCACTATGCTTTAATTATGTTCAATTTGTAACAATGAAAATACATCCTGCATATCAGATATTTACAGTAGGATTCATAACAGTAGCAAAATTACAGTTATGAAGTAGCAACGAAAATAGTTTTATGGTTGGGGTCACCACAGCATGAGGAACTGTATTAAAGGGTCGCGGCATTAGGGAGGTTGAGAACCAATGCTGGGCCTTCCTCTTCCCTCCTTCCGCCCAGAAAGAAGGCAGGAGTTTCGGGGAGAGCTGGGAACCTGTGGAGAAAACTGGCCAAGCGGAGGCGGGCCTGAGCTCCGCCCCGGATTTCCCGGCAGCTCCTGCCCTCTGCTGGCAGGAAGGAGCACTTACACCATGCGGTCATTGAGGGTGGTTAGGGGGCCAACTCCCGCTCCACTTTGCCACCAAGGACCCTCTCCAGAGGCTGAGAGGCAGCTAGGCGGGGTCGGCCAGGAGTGCGGATTCCGGAGAAGTAGCATTAGAAGAATGAACTGAAATTCCTCACAGATAAAGAGGTGTCCAATACAGGGGGAGGAGATGTCTATACTAGCCTTCCAGTAGGCCTCTTGGAAACCAAGGTGGAGATGTCAGTGGCACAAGCAGCTGGTAAGGGCTGGCCTGGAGCCCAAATCAATCAGTGACCTTGACATGTCAGGATCTTGTGAAGTGGCAATTAGTTTGGGGACACTCACTCAGCAAACATTTCTTGAGTATCTATGTGCCAGGGACTGTTAGAGGTATGTGGAAGTCATCAGAGAATAAAATAAACCAACAAATAATTTTTAAACACAGACAATAGACATAATAAATATGTAAATTATATAGACCTTTAAGGTGATAAGCTCTATGGGGAAAATGTAGCAGGAAGGGGAATGGGGTGAAACTAGTGGTAGCATTTTTTAATAGTGTGGACAAAAAGCTACCACATGCTAACCTGACTAGCTCAGGGGAGGCCTGCATGGCAGCCTTGCAAACTCAGAGACCTCAAGTAACCACAAAGGATGGTCTGAAGTTGAAACTTTTTAACTAAAAGCAGTTTACAGTAGGTAGTCATGTCGTAGGCTGGCATCTTCCTTGACAAAGGTCAATCTTTATCTTAACTAAGCCTGTCTATTATCTTTTTGCCTCTACGGTAACATATCATTGGAATGTCGAAGTAATTTTCCTTTTTCTGGACCCCTCAAAGCACCACTCTGTGAAGACCACAAATCCCCTCATTGTTACCAAGTTAATTGTTGACTGTTAACTATCCTATACCCACCTATGTAGAAGATATATGTGTCTATCATTTCATTTTCTATCCAATCCCAGAGGTTTCCCTGCTTTGCTTTCTCCCACCTCCTTAATCTGTCACCTTTGGATTTCATGTAACCCAGATATGTCTCCTCTTTTGATTGTAATATATAAAATAAGGTGCAAAACTGCCGTTCTCTGGAGCATTATCTCAAGACATTGAGAGTTTGCTTCCCGGCAATTGTTGACAGTTTGGCTCAAATAAACTGACGAAAATTTTTCACGGGCTTGAATGTTTCTTACATTGACAATAGGATAGTTAAAGGAAGCCTCCTTGATAAGGTGTGAATGTGGTATGGTAGTTAGCCTTGCATATGTCTAGGAGGAAATGTCCTAAAGCAATAATGTGTCTGTATCTTTCAGGAACAGCAAAGAGGCTAGATACTAGAAAAGCATGAGTAAGAGGGAGAATAAATAGCAGACTTGTTCCAAAAGGTAAAGGTGTGGGAAGACAGATCACTTAAGTGTATAAGAACTTTCGTAAGGACTTTAGCCTTTACTCGGGGTGAAATGAATTACATGATCTGAGAAACATTTTGAAAGGATTACTCAGGCTGCTATGAGTGAGGTCAAGGCAAGAAGTAGGGAGTCCAGGTCAAAGACTTGTATAGTAATCCTAGTAGGAAGGATTGCTCTCTCAAACTACGTGGTAACAATGGAGGCAGTGAGAAACAACTAGATGCTGGATGTGTTTGAATGTAAAAACAGCCGACTTTACTGACATATTGAAAGTGGTACAAAAGGAACCAAGAACGCCAACATTGTTGACCTCAGAACAAAAAGGATAACGTTACCTTCAACTGAGGTGGTGAATGTTAATGGAGGAGCAGTTTTAGGGGATGAGTAAGGGAGAAGATAATTATTTCCATGTGGGACACATTAAGTTTGAGGTGTCTATTACACATCCAGTGAAGATTTCAAGTGGACAGTTGACTATACAAGTCTCAAGCATAGGAGTGAGAGCTGAGCTAAAAATGTAAATATGGGAACTGGAAAATCAGTGGCATTTAGAGCCTTGAGACTGTGTAAGATCACGAAGAGAAACAAACAAATCACTGACTCATGGGGCTCTACAAAATTCAGATACCAGGAGAAGAGGAGGAACTTGTGAGGAGGCTGAGAACAAAACCTGAGGTTATGGAAGAGGCGCATCAGTGTGCAGCTTGACATGACTGTCTGCCTTGAGAGTACCAGGACTGATCTCAGGATGCCTTTCATCCTTTTCCTGTCACAAGAAGCCTAATTCCCAGGTCAGCCTCTCAAGGAGGAGAGGGTGATCACCTGTGCCGAATGCTGCTGAGCAAGGAGAATCGGCCCTGTCAGGGTGGGGTGATCTTACTTCATATGCAAAGAGTGTCTCTAATCCCTACTGATGGAGCGGAGGAGTTTGGGCTGTTGATTAGGGAGATTTACAAAGTTCTTGATGTAGAAGAAGAC